GAGTGCAATGGCACAGTCTTGGCTCACTGCAGCCACAAAATCCAGGGCTCAGGCGATCCTCCCATGTCAGCCTCCTGAGTAGCTGGGAGTACAGGCACGAGCCACCATGCCCAGATAATTTTTAAATTTTTCTTTCATAGAGATAAGATCTTGCTATGGTGACCAGGCTGGTCACAAACTCCTGGTCTTGCATTCTTAGTCATAAAAATCTCTTCTAATCTCCCTCTGGCATCCGATTTTGGTTGAAGCCAAACATTTAAGCAGACAAGCATGAGAAGAAACAAGGAATTATCCTTTAACTCCTCCAATACCAATATTGCATAAAGAAGTGAAAAACTCAAAACATTAAATTCCCAAATATCACTAAATGTTTGCTCTTTCAAAACAGAAATTATAATAAATATTTTCTTGTTCTTGGTTTTACACTCTTTTGAAAACTTGTTTCTTTTCCCCTCCAAATAAAATCTTGTGCAGTTTCCACTTGGCCTCACAGGAATGTAAAGCTTTATTTAGGTATGTGAACTGGTGGCAGAGAACAGAAACTTCAGGAAAAAAAAAAAAAATTCAAAGGGTTAGAATCAAATACAGGGCTTTGCTTTTAGATACAATGTCACAACTTAAAGTGAATGGGTTTTCTTTTGTGTCATATTGCCTGGGAGGTTGCTATCTCATGAAAACCAAAGTAGCATCTAGTGATGCCCAAACCTTTGGTAAGTAGTTATAAATGAATAAATTGGTGACGTTTGGAGTAACCAGAGACTAACTGTTAATATTTATTAAGCATTTATTATAAACTAGACTATATTCTAAAAGCATAATTCTAAGGTTGGTACTACTCTTTATCTCTAGTTTACAGATGAGGAAACTGGAGAGAGAGTGAGAGCCCGCGCACATGAGAAAGAGCGAGTGGGCATGAGAGAGAAAGAGTGTGCGTGTGCAAGAGATTGATTAACTCTTAACTACTGTACCCAAGACCGCACATCTAATACCAATAGAAATGGAATTCAGACTCAGGCAATCTGGCTCTGGGTCTGAAACGGTAACCAGTCTATTAAACTACACAAGCATGTGTTATTGACAGATAACTGACTATGAAAACATGTGTTACTGATGGATAATTGACTTGCCAATGCAGGCAGGACCATCTGGTAGTTTGGGGTACTGTAATTTACTATAATTTAGCTTTACAGTAATCTTTTGTCACTGCTTCTTGACTTAAGCACCAACTCTCAGCCTGCCATTTAAGGGCTTCTACCCTCAGTGCTGGCCAGCCTCTTTATTGTGCCACCAGCATATGTACTGTTATGTCCAGGTCCTTTTCAAAGCTCCCCAAATATCCAGGCCTGTTTATACATTCTGCAGTCTTCAGAGTTCACTGCAAATCCTTCCTCTTCTCAGAAGCCATCTCTGAGACTTCAAATCATACCTCTTTTTCTTCTCCAAGCTCCAAATAGATTCATGGTCTGGAGCAGGTGTCCCCAAACCTTTTACACAGGGGGCAGTTCACTGTCCCTCAGACCGTTGGAGGGCCACCACATACTGTGCTCCTCTCACTGACCACCAATGAAAGAGGTGCCCCTTCCTGAAGTGAGGCGGGGGGCCGGATAAATGGCCTCAGGGGGCCGCACGCGGCCCGCGGGCCGTAGTTTGGGGACACCTGGTCTGGAGCATTGGTTCCCTTCCTTTGTCAACACAAGAATGCCTTTTTAATGTCAAAAATCACCCCGCTCAAACTCCCATGTGATAGTAAATTTGTGATATCCAATGTGGTAGATCTAAGCTAGAGGTTCTTAACCCTGATTGCTCATTAGAATTATGCAAAGAACTTAAAAAAAAAAAACACTAATGTCCAGATTGCACCCTATGAAAATCAACCAGAATCTCTGAGGGGTGGCCCAGGCATAGTTGTTCTTCAATCTCCCAGGTTATTCCAAGGGGCTAGTGAGTCTGAGAGCCAGTGGGCCAGCACCTATTGTTTTGTATTCTACCCTTGGAGGCCTCCTGCAACAAATATGAAAGCTCTTAAAGGCAATAATATGCTTTGATATTTTAAGCTTTTTAAACTCAAAGTATGGATCATGGACCAGTAGCATCAGCATCACTTGGGAGCTTGTTAGAAATTCAGATACATAGACTACCTCCCTGAGTCCTACTGATTCAGAGCGCATTTTAACAAGATCTCTTAGTGATACCTATGCATAGCAAAGTTTGGGAAGAATGAGTGACTGAGTTTAAAGCAGAAAAACACTATCTACTTTGGGAGGTTGAGATGGGCAGATCACAAGGTCAGGAGTTCGAGACTTGACCAGCATAGCGAAATCCTGTCTCTACTAAAAATACAAAAATTAGCCGGCTGTGGTGGTTCACACTTGTAATCCCAGCTACTAGGGAGGCAGAGGCAGGAGAATCACTTAAACCCAGACAGCTGGAGGGGTAGGAATCTCAAGCCTCAAAAGGCTACTAAAGGTAAATATTCATTTATTAATGTATGCATTTTTACTACATGACATCATTATCAGCCTTCTGGGCTGTTCCTTGGCTTGTATGCAGAGGAAGACAAAAACCAAATACCGTCTTCTCCTTCTAAGTAAGTCTTCTCCCAAGGAATTCTGTTCATTGATAATAGTACCCCTGACATACACAGAGCTCCTATGGGCTCACTCTTATTTTCCTGGAAGCCCTGACATTCACCTAAGATCTTGGTCTGGGGTCTTCTCACCAACACCTTACAATTCTACTACTTACTCTTACAGATAGGGAACAGAAGGGGCTGGATAATTATACAGCTTGGGATGGGCTTACATGGTTCTTCCTTTTCCTAATAGAAGACAAAGCTTTGCTTTTTTTTACCATGGCATTTATATGCAAAGAGCATATTTGGAAACCATATAAAAATAACTTCTATCAACTCTTCTTTAAAGTATAATATTTATCCAATAATGCCACACAAAAGTAGAAATTTGGCCAGGCAAAAATCAGTTGTTTTCTTCAAAAATGTGTGTTTTGTAGCTTTCCCACACAGTACCAACCATATGTTATAAGTGAAGTTTAATCGGGGGCTCATAAATAGAAATGCCACCATATCTTTTCCTCACAAGGGAGGGAAATAAATGAGTTCATTAAAATTATGGTGGTGCATGATCTGCTGAAAAGAAAAGCCATTTGTTAATATAAATTAGAACTTATACCTTGATGAGGGTTAGAAATCTAGGAAAAATTTAAATGTCAGTCTAATTCTCTGATATGAAAAGCAAGACCATAAAATACTAGCTCATCTACACAATTTGAATATAATTTTATTCACTCACGGCTCTTGGGGCTTGAATCCAGGCCTTACTTTCACAGAATTTGTTCTTATTTGATCAGAATTTAGTCTCATTTGAATGAGAATTTGGTCTGATAATGATTGGCACAGGCATAGATTTTTTAAAGTACATCTAAAAGGATAATCCAATTAAAAGATCTTCCCTGCTAAGCTGGAAATGGAGTGAAGCTGAATTTAGCTGTGCTATCAATGTAATGACCTGGGAAAAAAGGAGGCTGAACAACGTGGAATTCCTTTTCACCAAATTTCTCTAAATAATATAATTTTTTAAGTATCTGAAATAATCATAAGTGAAAATTAATTTATCAAATTTAACACCAATATATAGGAATAACTTAACATGTGTTACTTTTTATAAGAGACCGTCAATTAAGATGTACCATTTTATTTATTTATGTATTTGTTTATTATGAGACAAAGGCTCACTCTGTCACCCAGACTGGAGTGCAGTGGTGAGATCTCGGCTCACTGCAACCTCCATCTCCTGAGTTCAACTGATTCTTCCATCTTAGCCTCCCGAGTAGCTGGCATTACAGGTGCTTACCACCATACCTGGCTAATTTTTGTATTTTTAGTAGAGAGGGGATTTCGCCACGTTGGCCAGGCTGGCCTTGAATTCCTGACCTGAGGTGATCTGCCCACCTTGGCCTGCCAAAGTGCTGGGATTGCAGGCACGAGCCATCGCACCCGGCCAAGGCATATCATTATTTTATATGACTAAGAAAAAATGCTATGCATTACATTAGGAGCTTGTCATTGGTTATAAGATTAGTTTAAATTTCAGAGATGGTAGGGCATGGGAGAAACGTGTCTTAGAACTGTTGAAATTCAGTAGATTACAAGTATAACACAAGTGATAATTTTATAAGAGCATAGCAACAACTTTTCCTGTCACAAATTTATGATTTGGTGTCATGGTGGTGATACTACTCCTGGATAATGATGCCATATTTTGCCCTTAACTAGTTATGCCAAATGCTCAGCATCCCCACACCCTCTGCCTCTGCAGCAAAGACTGGAAGTAACCATAAATCTGGCTAATAAAAATATTCTGTGCTCCTCCTTTGGGGGCAAACAATGGCAGCAAGCCATAGCCTACAGCATGGCTTGCATTTTACTCATTGCAAACATGAGTGCATGTAGAGACCCATGTGCATTTATATCAAAATAATACTAGCTATAAAAAAATGGGAGAGCCAAGAGGGTGTACACCTATAATTTCAAATAGGCACCTAGGCCTCTGCTAAGGTCTGTCTTGTGGTTTGATAATGGGTTACTCCCACTGGTAAAGCTGTGTAAGTAAGATGCATCCAGGCACAGCCTTAAGGGCCCCTACACACGCTTATCAGAATTCTAGAAGTAGAATCATTGACGTGCATTATAGTCTCTTGCCAGTGAATTAGTGCTTTTTCCCTGTAAACACAATCAAAGGGACCTTTAAGGCCAGAGAAAGCTGAAAATGAAACAGTCTTGTAAAGTGGTGTCTAATTTGGTAAATGGATTGGTGGGACTGAAGAATTTTCTGGTTAGATGGACTGATCAGAATTGCCAGAAAGTTGCCAAAATTCCAATTCAGGTCATCCTGCATGTAGTTGTGTAAACCTTTCCAATTTCTCAGAAATGGAAACAGAAATCTCCAATGTGGCTTTAGAAGATGGAAAACTGGCATACTCACGATGATTGGGAAGCCTTTCTTCTGAGTAAATAGTCCACGACATCAGGATCTGTCTCTAGCAGGCTGATCAGCACTTCGTTCTGGAGATCTGGGGGAACCTGGAAGAGACAAATGTTGAGGCATAAACAAAACCATTCCAGAAATAGGCAAAATATGGTCATTAACAACTTTACTGTAGCATAAAACAGAGCCCTAAAAGTTGCAAGAGAGCAGAGTGATTTGCTGGTTAAAACCAAACCTATGCCAACCCATAGAGCTGCTTTAATTCTTAGGACCAACTGGATGATTATCAAATAGTCACATTCAATCCAAAATCTCAACCGTCATATGCCTGGAGATGCAAATGAACCACTTAGATGCCTTTATTGCTTAGGCTAGATTTTCTTGGTTTTGAATAAGGAAAATATCACGGTTAAGAGAAATAGTGTTCATAATTTATTGCCCAAATGGGGACACTTTCTAGAGTTCACATTTATAATTATGCCAAGACAACAGGTATAAATGATGACTGTATTGGGCAGTTCTGGAATATCTGATCAGCTTATTATGAGGACAGGCCCTTGAGTCAGACTGCTTGTGTTTGAATCCTAGCCACACCAGTTCACTAGCTGTAGGACCCCTGACAAGGTACATCAACAAGAATCTTCCTAGATCTCAGTTTCCTCAAGTGTAAAATGGGGATAACAATAGTACTCACCATGAAGCATTTCTGTGGTGATTAAATGACTTATTATATGTAGAGACTTTAAAGTAGTGCTTGGTCAATGGCAAATACTCAAAAAATCTCTGGCTACTACATTTGCACATGTCACTGTTATTCGGTGCCTGCCTTCACTCCTTTCTTGCACCTGGCCCATCAATAATTAAAAGTTTCTTACTTTGTAATTTGTTAGGCATCCGCTAGAGTTATATAGATGAACATCATATGTTTTCTCTAAGCCTAATCCATCCACAGTACATTAGAAGACAGCCTCACAACCCTAAGTTATCTGTGTGGAAATGTTCTATAAGAGATAATTGAACCCAGTTCTGACTTGCGGTTTCTTATTCCATAGAAGCTGATAGCTCAACCAAAGGAAACTCAAACTATTGAGAGAAAATAAAATGTCAGTCTGATTCTCTCACTCAGGAGCTCAGAGAGAAGACTTTTTGAAACCACAGGGACAAGTCTTCTGAAAATAAGTGGGTTGGTGGAAGAATTTGCTTCTTGCTTCTTGCAGAACTCTATGGTTCTTGGGCTCTGAGAATCTGGAAACAATTTTATTAATAAAAACAGGGATGAGAAAGCAAGGAAATGCATTCCATCTCTTAGAAATCTGTTCCTCCTACTTCATCGTGAATCTTCATTAATGACATTGCTAACTTCTAATCTCACAAGCTCAAGATCTCAGAGTTGTACTAAAGCCTCTCTGCATCCCCTCTCCTCTCCATTCAGAGCCAGGAGGCCTACTAGACTTCACCTCTGTTACTTTTTATCGCTCTTCTCCATTGCAGCTACAGTGACCCAAGTTCAAGTCTTTAGTAGCCCTTTTGTAGTGGTCATCTGTTAGTCATAAAAGCCTCAATTTCCCTCCTCTTATAATAGTTATACCACAAGATCCCTCTGGAAAACCAACTGCTACCCAACCCTTAGCTCAAGGGTGAAGTGTGCTATTGAGCATTCCATTCCCAGATTATCATAGTTGCCTGAGCAATGGGCATGTGACTCCAGCAGAGGCAATGAAAAGCCTGGAGGTTTTCCCTGAGACTTCTAAGAGAGAATACAGGGCTTGTATCCATATGAGGCCTGATGATTGTGCTGACAATCGAGCAAACAATACCAAGTACTGGAGAGAGAAAAAAGGGATGTCTTGATATCACTTGAGTCCTGGGACAAACTATGTCTGAAGCCATATTTGCTTGTGGGTTGTTAAGCTATGTGAGCCTTCAAATTCCTTTACTTAGTTTGAGTTTTTCATTGCAAAGAAAAATACATACTTGATGAACCTTTGATACAACAGCTTGCTAATTTGTATGCTATTTCCTCAGCATGTGCATCATATTTCTTCTCTATGTGTTTGTCAGAATGCTGTGGTCAACATACTCACTTACTGGAAACTCTTTTTATCCCCATGCTGAAGCCATCCACTTGCTTGCTCTCCTCAATCTGTCATTCCCATCTTCTCCCCTGGCAGTCATCCCACACAAGCTCTAATTCAGCAACACTGTGCTTCTCCCTTAAGTTTTCTCCTCCCTCCCTTCCTTTCATTCATTGCATAAATGTTGAGTGAATGCTTCCTGAGTGCCAGGTACTAGATGCTGGGAATTCAGTTACAAACCAAACAGACAAGAATCCTTGTCTTCATGAAGCTGATAACAAACATGGAAAGACAGGCCTTAAATATACACGGAAAAACATAGAGAAACACAAGGCAAAAAGAGGTAATGGGGAGTGCTAGGGAAGTCGCAGTTATAAATAGGATGGTCAGGTCCTAGAGGTGCTGACATTTTAGCAGAAAACTGAAATTGATAAAGGAGTTGGAGAAAATCGTTTCAGGTAAAAGGAAGGAAAAGAAAACCAATGATAAAGGTCCTGAGTCAAGAGTATGAGGAGGCCTGTGAGGCTGGAAAAGAGCAGGAAAGGAGGTAGGTGGTAGGAAGGAGTCATGGGGCCAGGATCTGGTGTCACAGAGTCTTATGGGTCATGATAAGGACTTCTGCTCTTACTCGAAGTGGGTGGGGATCCACTGGAGATTTTGAACAGATGACTAACATGAAGCATCATCACTCTGGCTGCTGACTTGAGCATAGAATACATAGAGGAAGAGAGAAAGCAAGGACAGCAGAGGGGGGCTGCTGATCTATCCAGATAAGATGGTGGGTCCTGAACTAGGATGGTGAGATGATAAGAAATATTTCCACCATGGAGATAGTGAAGACAAAGGTGATAGCATAAATTTATTGGATGGAGACAGAGAGAAGAGAGGGAAAGGGAGAAGAAAAGATGACCTCAATGCTTGGGCTTAGGCAACTAGAAAGATCGAGTTGCTGTTGATCAGTTTGGAGAAGCTGCAGGAGGATAAATTTGGGGGTCAAGTTTTGGAGTGTAGTTTTGATATGATAATGTTGAGAGGTCACAAGACATCCAAATGAAGGAAATATCTTGTAGATAGTTGGCAATAAGGATTCAGAGTTCATAGGAGAGGTCTGGGTTCGACATAGACATTTAAGAGACACATATAGATGGTATTTAAAGCCCAGTGACCAGCTGCAGTGGCCTGGAATGAAAGGGGAGAGAAAAGAAACGGCAGGACATTTAGGTCAAGAGTGAGATTATCTATTCTCTTACTGTATAAAGTAAGCAGAAAGACATCATTTTTACTGTATTTTTTTTCAAAGATCATTATTCAACAGCCATGTGCTATTATAATAGTTTTTTTTAAAAAAAGGTAACACCTAAGGGGTGAAAATGAGAAGAAAGAGAAGTCTTTTTTTATTAATGAACAGCAAAGCAAAAATTAATGTAGGACAAAAATGTATGTCCCGATCTCTTTTTTAGATGAAACTTCCATAAACAAATTAGGAAAAGTACTTGCATTTCCTTCCAGTTAGTTTAATTTAAAATTTGCTAGGCTTAGATATGTAATAAAAATTTTTGCTCCAAGCATGAATCCGTTCCCATTTGGATTTAAAGAATAAACAATTAGAGTGCAAGCCCTTCAGAGTGGTGCAAACATGACAATATTAATTCTTTGAGAGTAAGTGATATGTCTAAGATAAATTATCAACTTGGATGAATTAATAGCATAAGTTTCAGAAAGTATCATTACTTAAAAAGTAACTTTCCATAAATTTTTGTTAAGCTAGTCTGCAATTCAGAGGTTTTCCTCATTCAACTAGGCTTGACTCTCAAGCAATCATAATTATTGAGGTCTCTTTTATGTAGCATGTATGACTCTTACTTGGTAACGAAGGCAAATTGAAAAGGTGACAGTTATAAATCTATCTATAGTTTCCTTTTAAAAGGCCCATGGTACCATTTTGGCTTGGAGATACTATTTACGAATAAATAAAAAGATATAGTTTAAACTTAATATATCTGGGACCTGACCATCCTATTTAAAACTGCATCTTCCCCAGCATTTCCTTCCTGTATTACAGGAAGGCAGATAATATTTTCCTATTTATCATGCAAAACTGACTACAATGTATATAATTCATTAGTTTATTTATAATCCATTTTTGCTACAGAACGATTTAAGGCAGCTTCAAAATTTATGTGATTAAACCACATTTTAAAAAATAAAGGAATGGTTCAGAAAATTGGGGTCAGTGGGAAAATGAGGTAAGAAATTTGAAATGATGCCTGGAACTGATTTTTCAATGTTCTTACAACAGCACCCAGTACTGTTTTCCTATAATTCCTCTAATTTTTGGCTATAACCACACATTTCATTTCCTAACATTTAATAAAAATTTCAAACTACTGGCTCTGTTAAATTGGATGAACATTTGTTTCTCTATTAATTTAGGTACTTATTGGAGAAATAAAAGTCAAGTAAATAAACTGACAGGAAACAGCAGCTTGAAATAAGTAAGAAAGAAATATTCAGGTAGACCATTGACTTAAGCATACTTTTTCAGAAATTAGGATGCCATAAAAAAAAAAAAAATCTGAGGCAACAGCCCCTGAAGTTCAGTTTGGGCTCTACTGTTTATAATTAATATAAACTTGGACACATCAATCACCGTCTTTAGGATTCTGTTCCCACATCTGAAAACATGTGCATATTCATTTCCTTAATGGGGTTATTATGGGAATCAAAAGGGCTAAAAAAATTTGAAAATAGATTACCAATTGCAAAGAGATCTAGCAATAAGATAATTTTAAAAATATATATACTTTAAGTTCTGGGGTACATGTGCAGATTATGCAGGTTTGTTACATAGGTATACATGTGCCATGGTGGTTTGTTGAAATGGCTAAAAATAATAATAATCTAAAATCACTCAATCATGGTCTGCATGTGTTGTTGCCCTTGTCTAGATGTTTCTCTGTACTTACCAGTGCTACCAATGTCATGCTGCAGCACAATCTTATTGCTATTCATTTCTAGAG